CCCTTCGGTACTCCTCTCCTCCTCCTCCCCCCCCCCCGTTTCTGTTCCTATCCAATCCCCCACTTGGCTCTTGCCCCTGCCCCTCTCTGCTTCTATCTAATCCGCTCCATCCTCTGGTTTTTGCCCTCCTCCTGTTCTGTGCCTATATACCTCTTCAGCCCCTCTCCCTCTCCTTGCACCCCACTACAGCTCCTGTCTCCCTCCACTAGCTCCTGTTCCTGCTGTCCCCACTCTGTTCCTCCTCACCCTCTGGCTCCCACAAGCCACCTTCCCCACATGCACCTCTCTTCAGTCAGGCAGCTTCTTCCTTCTCTTCCATATTAGCAGGGGGAGCATTGAGATCATAGGAGAGACAGTCTCCTTGCTGTTAGTTCCAATGTTTGGTGGCACATGGGTCCCTGGCAGTGGGGAGGAGCAATTAGAGGGAAAGTCATGCCTGGGTCCCTATAGTCCCTGTAGCTGGAGTATGCTCAGTGCACACAAAATCTTCAGAGAATTTAACAACATGAAATTTACTTCTGTAATTGGGTAAATCAGAGTGTAACCTTACATTGCAACTGTCCCAGTGCAATGTACTTCCCTCTTCCCTGGAGACTGAACATTTTCTTCTACACCACACTCAGCTTCATCGTGCTGTGAGATAAAATATTAGATCCCTTCTAACTGTACATCCTGGGATAAAGCACCTACAGTGTTTAACTGCTGGGATGCAGGCTAGTCTCTGTGGACTCAATTATAGCTCTCTGATCCACCAAAAGCTCTCCCCTACCCCACATACACTGGGAGATAAATCCTGCCTTTCCTTTGATGGAACAGCTCAGGAGGTTCTCTATGAGAAAAGTGCAGTAGAGTTTTCCCATGAGGAGTGATTAACACCTCTGTCTGGCTAATTCCTAGTGTTTCAGCTTGACCACTTTGAGAACAATTGCCAAGAAAGGTTTCTGGCTAACAGGAGGTAAGAAATGTTGGGACTCTTGTAAGAAACCAGTGTGGACTTACCTTGCATCTTCTCTACATTCCTAATGTAATTAGCTTTCCCTGCTGCCAGTTCCAAACACTTTCCTTTGAAACAGCAATCAGCAAAGGACAAAAGTGGATTGTAGCAGGAGTTAGGAATGGGGAAAAAATTAAGATAACTGTGATAAGGACTATATAACAAACTTATACACAGAGAACCTTGCAGTAACTTCATTTGGGAAAGAGATAGGCCACATGAAGTCTTAATCTGACCTGGAAGTGTTAGAAACTAAGGTAGTAAGAGAAGCCTGATTAATTTAGAAAAGAGGAGGTCACCAGCAAAGACTATCAAAGATGAATATATTCATCCTTAGTGTCCTAAAAATTAAGGTTTGCTTTGTTAATTTGTCACAACAGACTTGGTACTCATGAGAATTCAATTAGTGACAACATTATGATAAAGTTATAGCAAATCTGTGACCAGCATTTTCTAACTTTAATCCTGGAATCCCCACATTTGGGATTAAAGGAAATGAATTTAAATTTTTCCTGCTGAAAGTTCTTTTAATCAAGCATAAGTTATAGCATACATGTCTTATGGATATTAACTTACAATAAAAGTTTAATATCCAACATGAAGGTACATATTTTCTTAAGGAACCAAACAGTTATCTGAATTTGACTGTCAGTTTCTCATGGGGTTCTTCTGGTTTGTTTTCAAGGCATATTCCTAGACAGGTGGGTATTTTATTCCAGTCCACAGAGGAAAATTCCATTATAGATCTCTTCATTGCCCTCACAAAAACAGCATCTTCAGGGTTCTCAAATGGAACTCTACAAAAATAACAAAACAAATGTAAATAACTGACATGATAAAAACAATTTTTCCTAACCACTTTGGAATTAATTTCTGGAAACAGTTATGTGGAAAGTAATAGTAGAGGCAATTACTGATTAAACAGACTAGTCTATAACTACTCAAGACATTTTTTTGTATGCTTCCTCTCTAAAACTTGAGATCAAAATGAGACAAAACAAAAGAGAATTAAAAAAAGGCAGAGTCATAGAAGTCCAAGTAAAAGAAACTTCATTTCTGATTAAACTAAATGCAATAAAGAAACTAATTAAAATGTATTTTCCTTAACTTTAAAAAACAAGTGAACTCAGTGCAAAAAGATACATTAATACAATATTAATTGCTCAGAGTTAACTTTCATAATATTGCTGCATTTATACACAGGAATATGATTCTGTGCATACAGATCTGGTTACAGTAAGAATTGTAACTGAATTTTATGTAAGCAGAGTCTGAATGAACTTTCCTCTGACAGCTAGCTGGGGAGGGGTAGAGACTTCAGGAGCAATCTGTATTTACATGAAAACACCTACTCTGCCAAGATATACAGCAGATAGAGCTGTGTTGCTCAAAGTGATCAACTTTGGCTGGTGTTGGGTTACAAATCACTTTAGTACTGAATACAGTGGTAGTGAAATGTTATCAATGTTGTCTTTATTGTATGAATAAAGGAGAGCAGAACTGTCCTTAACTTATCCCAAATGAGGGGGTCACCCTCAGCTGAAAGCCAGGGACTTGAATGCTAGACCCCTGTGAAAGTAAGAGGTGGTGGAGATAGGTGTCCCAGCCATGAGATGTGAACTCTCCTGAAGGGTCCCTGATCTGGTTTAATCTGTTTTCCCTACTGCTCACAGACAGTGCTAAATAGGCTTAATTAGGAGCCTAGTATTATTTCAAATATTCAATAAGAGCTGAAATCACTTGTGGTAGGGCAGTGTTTCTGCCCAGCCTACTGAAAATCACTAAGAGACTGACCTACAGAAGTCAGAGCAGAGAGGCAGGTGACAGCAGAAGGTAACTGACAGGCAGCCAGCAAAAGTAGCAAACAGTGGCTGATGGGGCAGCCAGAGGGTGAGTGACCGCAACTGGTGGGATGGCCAGGCATCAAGGAACCATGATTGGCGGGGCAGCCAGCCAGAACAAGTGCTCAGATAGCAGAGCAAGCAAGGTGCCTTCTTCCCCAGGTGGGAGGTGAGCTCACACAGATGTGCCTCTGAACCCTAGGTCCTCACTTACCAAGGACAACCACTGTGAATGAGGTATGGTGAGGGAGCAGAGGGGGGCACAGTAAAGGAACTTTTGGTTGTAGAAAATCATCTTCTGCCCCATGCACTCTGCTGACAGTTTTGTTTAGGAATCCTCCCTGTGGCATTTTCCCTAATTCATGTCAGGTGATGTCTCTCCTTTCATTAAGTTTCTTTTCTACACGCAGACTCTGTGCTTGCGAGTGAGGAAGTATGGCCTCTCAGAGGCACCCAGAGGTGGTGTGTAACTTTCCTAGGTTACTGAGTGGCGGCTTGAGCCGGTTCTGTGTAGTATTGTTGAAAAAGAACCCGTGAATACTGAACCCAGCCCTGGTTGCTGCCGGCCCCACCTGGCAGAAGGGTTACATGAACATGTAAAATCTTAATCGTTACACTGCATTTATAGTCTCTCTTGCAGATGTAAGTGATCACACACTCAGGCAAATGCAATGGATGTTTATTTCATTGTGATTCTTCTGGATAATCAAGGTGCAAACTTCTGATTGCTCATTCTGTGCATGTCATACTTTAGTTGTACCATGGGAGATGTGAGTTGTAGACTCACAAAATCAGTGAAGAGAGTAGAGATAGAAAGAAACTCAGTAGTACAGTCACTCTCATATATAGGTGCTCAGGTATTGGGCACAGTATAAAAACTGAATAGAAAAGAATCTCTGCATAAAGGCATGTACGCACGTTAGCATGTGGCTAGCTTTAATCATGTGAGTAGTTCCACTGACTTCAACAGGTCTATTCCAGTGCTTATAGTTAAGCATGTGCTTAAGTACCTTGTGGAATTTGGGACCTGAGCACCTAAAAGCAACAGGAAGTACATGCAGCAAGCAGAGCGGTATTGAAACCAGCACAGAACTCTGTTTTCATTATGATTTGCCTGATTGCGTAGGGTTATCCTCAAAGTGGATAGCTCCATATACTTAGATTGTTAAAGGAAATGGTAGTGAACTTATGTGCACTAATGTGTACATGCTAATTTTAAAAATATATTTCTCAATAATGAATGTTTAAAACATAGCTACTCACACATGTTGCTCACTGATAAATTAAAACAAGCATGAACTTTTAAAATAACTTGGAAAGTTGCCACATAAAAAAACCGCATCTAAAAATGTCTCAGAGCATTAATAACATCTTTTTTCCCTATCACAACACAGAGAGAGAACTAAATTTTATCTTTATTTCTATTATACATGAAAAATCCAACAAAATAAACCAACTGTGGGCTGAGAAATTTCATTCCACAGGGCAGCATTTTTTCCAGGAAGGTGCCTATTTAAGAATAGGCAGTTAGAAGGAAATTGTCTCACTCATGTTACAGCAGAACTACTCGGCTACTCTAACACATTAATGTACAATATTTTTAGCACTTAGTGCAGGGGTGGGCAAACTACGGGCTGCATCTGGCATGCCAGCCATTTTAAGCTGGCCCTCGAGCTTCTGCTGGGGAGCGGGGTTTGGGGCATGCCCCGCTCCAGCCAGGGAGCAGGGTCGGGGGCCGCTCCACGCAGCTCAGAAGCAGCAGCATGTCATAGCCCCTCTCCGGCTCCTACACGCTCCAATGGCCCCCTCCAGCGCTCCAATAGGACGGGGCAGCATGCAGAGCCGCCTGACCGCGCCTCCACGTAGGAGCTGGAGAAGCGACATGCCACTGCTTCCGGGAGCCGCTTGAGCTAAGCGCCGCCACGCCCCAGCCCGGAGCCCCCTTTTGTACCCTGAACTCCTCATTTCTGGCCCGACCCCAGAGCTTGCACCCCCAAGCAGAGCCCACACCCCAACCCCAATTCTGTGAGCATTCATGGCCTGCCATACAATTTCTATTCCCAGATGTGGCCCTCGAGCAAAAAAGTTTGCCCACCCCGACTTAGTGTTTGATATTACAAAATGAACTGCATTTTATCATACACCTCATTTCCTAATCAGCAATACTACTGAAAATGCATTGAAGATAGCAGCAGGTGGATTGTCTCACCACTGATGGACACAGTGGTTTATCCCACCACAAAAAAGGGCAGAATATTTTTTAAAAGTTACTGTCTTTTTTTTTTTTGGGTGGGGCAGAGAGGATTGAGTGAATACTTCTAATGTGCAAAAATAAAAATAGGCACAAACAAACTACTTACTTATTTATGTGATTTGCAACTTCATAACCTGTAACAACAAATTTATAATAAGTAAATATTTCTACAGCACTTGACCATTTAAGATCTACAATTTGTTCTAGCTCCCATTGACTTGAATGGTGCAAAATCAATCCCTAGGAGTGCTAGCCATTACAACTGAATATTAGTAGTTAAATCAAAATATAGGCTATTGCTTCCTGGTTATTAAATGTTTTTTCTGACTGTTTATGCTGTGTAATTATTCATGTTTTACTTCCCCCCCCCCAAAAAAATACTTGTTTTTTTAAAAGAAATGATAGCACCAACCCTCCAATAGCAAAACAATGTGAACATATGATACACTGTTCAAAGATTTCAGTTTCTAACTTCCCAGGGGTCCTTGTGAACTATGAGGAAAAAGATTAAAAATAACTCTCTTAACCTGCATTTTAGAAATTATTAAACTACTAAAGCTTATAGTCATTGTTTTGCATATGATTTAAAACTTCAAAACATTACACTCAAAATCACTTGCCATTAACTTATTTTAAAGTCCAAACTTCGCACTCTGAACCCCTGAAATGGGTTTATTATAACCAACTGCATGATGTTAAGTCCACAATAAGAAAATTTGTAAGTATTTTATCTATAGTGGACACAGTATTGTAGATAGGCCATGAGAGTTTTTAGAGCAGGCTCAGATGACATGACAGTAGAATCACGTGACCTTTCTCTACTACTAAAGTATCCACTGTTGGTAGCAGTGAAGCTGCAGCAGTGTAAAAAGTTGTTGTCATTTTGGTTATAATATAAACCCATTTTCAATGGCTCCTGAGTTCCATATTTTGCTGTTTAAGAAAGTGTGAGGCTGAGTGTAGGCTAACTTCAGTGGGACTAATTCACATGCTTAATGTTAATCATGTGCTTTGCTTCAGGGCCATACTGCATTGTTCAAGCAGATATTTTAACAACTCTTAACAAATTCCTCCAAATTCCTCCTACAAAAAAAGCACCCCCAGCATTACAGTGATAGAGCTTACTAAAATAAATGTATAACAACTCTTCAGAGAGAGTTATCTCTGCTTACTGATTAAGCAATTGATTAAAGAAAGTTTTGACTGTTTTTGCTCCATTAAATTCAGAGACAGAAAAGAGAATTACCTGGATTATATTTCAGGTAATATATTTGTCTATGGGGGGAGGGGTTAATCTGCAGCTTTTTGATGTGCATTAGGTAATGTGAAAGACGCAAACCACACTAATATCGTACATGTGGAACAGTGTGCCCACTTTTGATGTGCATCATTATTTTGTGCACACAGTGGTTTGCTGAGTACTAAGGGCGATGGTGTTCTTGGAGAGTATCCCATTATCCTTTGCTTTGCTGCTAAGCAGTAGGCATTGTGGGGATGCATAATGGATGCCAGGCAGGTTCCAATTTTTTTAAAATCACAGGCTTCCTCTGTCTCTACCCCATACTTCCTTTCTGGGAGGGCTAGTGTCATTTTCAAACTGCTGTCAGCCAGCATGGACCCTGCAATGTATCAGTGGTCTCCTCACGCTCATCCTCTGATGAGTTTTGCTGGTTGTTCTTGGTGGAGTGGGGAAGAAAGCATGCAGCAGGCTCCAAACTTTTTCTGGGTATGGTGGTCATGTAGTTGTGGAAAATCCTGTCCAACTCTTCAAAAAATGGATAGGTTTCATGTCTCCTGATGGATTTTTTCCTCTCATCCCTTGTTTTAATAAAGGTCCTCCTGAGCCGTTTGCTCTTTATCTGGTATTGGTTGGTATATGGTCGTGAAACCTTGCAGACTTCTGCTTAGCAGTCTCCACAAAAAGATCTAACTCCCTTTATAGACAAGATCACAGCTTGTCTAGAATGAGCAAATCGTTAATTAAATTCCAACTGCACACCCAAAGTGCATTCATTTACACCTGCCCAACCCCATGGAAAACAATGGGATTGCATATTTGTCACTGAGAACATAATTTGAAGCCACTACGGTTCATGTCTACCTCAGGAAAGAATTTGGTTTGCAGGATCTTTACTCGTAAAGACGGTGTGCAAGACAAAAAGACCCCTCTAAATTTGAGTTAGAAAAAACATATTTCTTTTAAAGGGATCAAATTTCATTTGGACTCACAAAGACTCAACAAACATAACATGCTACGTTGCCATTTTTAGAAAGTCACAATTCAAAGCAGAACCACATTTTAAACTTCTACAAATAAAACATGTAGTGAGAGATGTTAAGTATGTAAGTCTACTAAACATACAAACTTTTGTGTGACTGATATTTCTAATATGTATATATTTGTAATATATTTTAAATAGAAAGATCCAGACCTACAGTTTTGTGTATCCAGATGCTATAGAAAAGGCTGATACACCATCTGCAACACTATTTAAGAGAAAAACTTTTTCTTCAGAAGACTGAAAAGGTTTATAATTCAAATAAGCACCAGAGGGCACCAAAACTCTAAACAGATGGATCTGCCTGTGGCAGATGTTCATGAGACAAGATAGGTGAGGTAATATCTTTTATTGAATCAACTTCTGCTGGTGAGCGAGACAAACTGTCCTACTTACATAACAGAAGTTGGTCCAATAAAAAATACTACCTCAACCATCTTGTCTCGCTAATATCTTGTGACTGACATGACTAAACCCACACTGCATACAGACATTCATGGTACAGTACCCTGGAAAAAATCATTTCCCTGTGAAATCTGTTTATTTAACAGAAAATGTGAGTAAAAACTTCAACACGAATGAGAATACATTTTGAAAAGATAATGAAATTCTATTTTGAGTTGCTGCCTTAAAGGCAATTCTGTTGTTCCAGAGTTTGATTATAACACATAGTGTAATATACAAATTAGTAGAAAAGACACATTCACTGCATGTTGCTACAGTTTGTTCATTAAATAAGGAAGCAATCTGACTGAGTTCATAAAGCATATCTATTTCATTATTAAATCTAATTAATTTTACAACCAAGTTGGTGAAAATTATTCTTTCTAATTCAAATTACCTGGAAATACATGTTTTTCCCTAAATCATTATAAATACCTGGAGACAGCAGCAAACTTTTGGCAAATGGAGTGCATCTGGTAGATACTGTCTTAGTTACCAATGGCATATCTATTCTCTTTCCAAAACCTATAGACTGGAGAACACGGGACCTTTCATGGTTGTAAATATGTAAAGCTGATTCCCTTTCTTTTTGAGTAACTTCTGTTAAAAGAGAAATAAAAACTGTTACCCTTTCTATACCAATGAATAAAATCAAAGCTTAGCTGCTTGCTAGCATTCAGACGAAAACTATTTTCTCTACAGAATTATGACCAGCTGGTGTAAAGTTGTATCGCTCTATTTACTTCAATATAGAGAGATATTGATTTATACTGCCTGAAGAGTTGGGGTAAAATCCTGACCCCACTGAAATCAATACCAAGCTCCCATTAATTTCACTGGGTCCAGGATTTCATCCCTAGATTCTGTTTGCATGGTGTTTAAATGCATTATACTAGAGAACTAAATGAAGTCTTAAATTGTAAGATTCATATCCACAATAAACCAGAATTCCAGTTTAAAGTCAGTAATAATTCCCACCACTCAATTACAGAAAGTTGTAGGAGTACAATCAAAAAAAGTTTTGCAGCTTCATTTGCCCTTTTGTTTGAAGTTCACTTGTAAATTTTAAACAAAGAGGTTAAGATTGTAAATCAAAAGGAGATTTACTGGGAAAAATGTGAACTAAAGACTCAAAACAAGAAACTCTGGCAGAAGCATTTTGAATTCGGTAAAGTCTTTCAATGTTGATGTCTAGGGGACCAATTAGAAAGGAACTGCAGTAGTTATGCCTGGGGGTGACAAAAGTGTGACCAAGTGTCTTGTGTAAATGAGGAAGTATATTTTAGTAATGTTCCATAGTAAAGACAGGAGTTTGTAATGTTAAAGAAATAGTTCTCAAATTTACAGTCAAGGGTAAAGTTTGGTAAAAAATACTGCCTAACTTCTTAATTCAGGAATGATCATTGTACTATGGTTGTATTTAAAAGAAGATTAAGTCCATGAATTTAACAAGATTATCTCTGGACTTTGTAAATATCGATATAGTTTCCCTAGATTAAATTATAGCCAGTTCTCCTCTATCCAGCAATGATCCTCATTGCAACAGTAAGGGAAGTACTGTCCTGAATACTGAAAAAGTTATTCTGAACAATGCCAAATGTACACTGATAAGGCCTCAACTGGAGTATTGTGTCCAGTTCTGGGCAGCACACTTCAGGAAAGATGTAGACAAACTGGAGAAAGTCCAGAGGAGAGCAACAAAAATGATTAAAGGTCTAGAAAACATGACTTATAAGATTGAAAAAAATTGGGTTTTTTTAGTCTAAAGAAGAAATGATTGAGGGGGACATGATAATAGTCTTCAAGTACATAAAAGGTTGTTATAATGAGGAGGGTGATAAATTGTTCTCCTTAGCCATGGAGGAAAGGACAAGAAGTAATGGGCTCATAATTGCGGTAAGGGAGATTTAGGTTAGACATCAGGAAAAACTTCCTGTCAGGGTAGTTAAGCACTGGAACAAATTACCTGGGGAGGCTGTGGAATCTCCCTTACTGGAAGTTTTGAAGAACAGGTTAGACAAACACTTGCCAGGGATGGTCTAGCTAATAATTAGTCCTGCCTCAGTGCCGGGGACTGGACTAGAAGATCTATCGAGGTTCCTTCCAGTATTACATTTCTATGTTCAGAAATAGGCTTGAGGTCCACCCGCAAACCTGTATGTGTATAACAGGGAAGTGCACATACAAATTGTTATGTGGGGCTGATCTTGCAAACCATTACTTGTGAGGACAATCCTTTCTCAAGTAGAACCAGCAAAGTCAATAGAACTATTTTATTTTTAATATTTAGATTGTGGTGGAGCCAAAACTCTGCACTCTGTTTCTCAAACATTGAGGAAGAGACAGGTTTCTGTCTGGAAGAAAATACACTGAAAATGCAAAGGGGAAAAGTGATGTATCATACAGACAAAATGATTATAGTGATGATAGATGAGTCTTATTAGTTACACAGTTGTATTGTAGATTTTTAAAGTTAAACTAAATTCCTCTCATCCCACCAGAATTAAACTCACTCATTCTCCTTTACAGTAATTCCCAGCTTCAATCCTATGGGTGAAATTTTGTGTTGTAGAAGAGGCACAGTAAAGAACAGATAGCTGAGGAGGACGAGGGGGAAGGGCAAAGATGGCTTTAAGTCACTTTACACCCTCCTGATTCTGAGCTACTCCAGGTCTGTAGTGGCCCCCAGCATAATTTAGACACCTCCTGGGGTTTTGTCCAAATTATGGCAGCCTCCCTGAATGCGCTTTGGGCAGCAGCACTGCCCAGAATCTCCACAACAGTGTGTGCTATGGCCCTTCCCACCACTCTACCCCTCCCATCTCAGCCACACCCCATCACTAATACTGGTGAGAGGGTGCTGAGCCTCAGGTCTTGCACCAGGAGAATTCTCCCCTGGCCAGATCTGGGGCTTCAAGGGCCCCTTTTTCCACTCCCGCCCTATTACCCAGCATAAAGGGACTGGAGCAGGGTGAGAATCTTACCCAATGTCTCCCAACATTCCTCCTCCTAATGTTCAACCTCCTTCCTTCACATCATTGAACAGTTCACTCAGATGACAGAAAAGTCATGTTGGTAAATACACAACTTAGGCATTTATTGAAGAAGTTGATCTTTAGGATCTTTTTCTTCTGTGGGCATCTACAAGAAACTAGCTGATCAAGTCATTAACTTACGTAGTTGATTTACTACTTCTGTTTATTCTCAAGATAGAGCCCTACTTGCCCAGGTTTTACCTTGAGAGCTTGCTGGGAGGGATGTAGGGATGATAATTTTATTTCTGGTGGGCTTTTAGTCAGTTTTATGTGGATAAGATCAATTAAGAAATGTGCATGCGTTTATTTAAAATCTACAAAGGTGTGCAGACCTCTGGGTGAGCACAAACTGAAATAAATTAGCCATTGTACATGCACTTACCCAATTTGCACACATGAAGGTAGGTTCATATTTCTGAACTCTGACATTAACCTCTCTTAAATTTGTTCCACAGAATTTTATGTAAGACAAATGAGATCTCAGAGTGTAGACACACACATTTTAAATAGCAAAGAAGCCAAATCTTTTAGTCAGTTTCAACATGAAAGGTCTGATATCAAGCAGATAATTGTTTAGTTCACACAAACTCTACCTGCATGCAAAATCTCACAATTAATTGGATTAAATTCATTATACGTTTTGATATATAAGCAAGAAGGAGAAGGAGGAGAAAAGGAAGAAGGAGAACAGCCACAGGAAGAATTCACCTACTTTTCTAAATGGGCTAGAGTCTTAAGTGACTGTCAATGCACTGTGAAAAGAGGAAAGCAGTCCTTACTCTTCCTGTCGAGGTGCTGTACTGAGGAAAGGAAGTATGTCACATAAAGACGGTACCCTGGATCTTGTGACAGAGGGTTGTGAAATAGATCTGCAAAAGTTTAAGGAAGGAAGAAAAAATATAAAAATTAACAAGCCTGGGAAAATAATCACCATTTGGCAAAGATATTGCAGAAAATACAATTAAATACACCCAAATTGTTTTTATACTATGAGCCAAGCCCTGCAGAGTCAAACAAATTCCCTTGCCTTAATAAGGACTGCAAGATTTGGCCCATTGTGAAATGTTCAATGAAAATAAATGAATTAATGTGCCACCTAAGGTGCTGTGCCTTTGAAGTTCCTGCTTGATCTTTTATGATTAACTAGGAGATCTTTGATATACTGACAAAGCCACACATTTTTTGCCTTTGATTTTGGTATGTACTGTAAGATAAGTATATACTTAAGTACGCAGCAGTTTTACAATATACATGGAATATAAAATGTGAATGACAGTTTTCTGACTTTTGAATATATCTAGTTGGAAATGCCTTAGACAACTCCAAATACGTATCAAACAATGGGTGAAGAATACAAATTTCAAACGTGCTTAAGTCATGTACGGACTCTAGGTCTTGTGCTCCTAAATCATTTATGCCCTTTTCAAAATTTGGCTCAATCACTCAATCAGAGTTCATAATATTTATTATGTGAATAAACAAGCCCTTTTAATGGAGGATATTTATTTTTCTTTGAAAGACATATGTATCAGCCCAATATTGCCAGTTTGCCAGGAGTGAATACACAAAGTTCTCCTAGATCAAATGCCAGACCATTTGGGTTCATGGGAATGTCGTCACAGGACACAGTGAAATCCATTTACTTTTCATTGCAATGTTGTGAACGGAAATGAACAAGCAATTGAGCACACTACAGAATCCCTTCATTTCCCTGATGCATATCATAAAATAACATCAAGGACAGAATGGCGAGTTCTGCTATGATTTCTCAATTGATTCCCCATTCTGTCATTGATCTTACTGCATTTGTGATTGCTGGAAAATACAGTATTTAATTTACACATGTACCTTTCAGAATTAAGATCATTTAACTGCCTGGCAGTGTTGGGAAAATTCAATCCATAATTTATGGAAGATGAATGCATTAAAAAAAGCTGAGACAAGGTGGGTGAGATAATATCTTTCATTGGACCAACTTCTGTTGGTGAGAGACAGACAAGCTTTCGAGCTTACACAGAGCTCTTCTTCAGGCTTGGGAAACTTATTCAGGACAGGTCTGCACTTAAAACAGCACCGCTTTCCGAGTGGTTCACTGAAGGCGCTACTACGCCAATGGAAGAGCTTCTCCCATTGGCGGAATTAATCCACTTCCAGAACAGATAGTAGCTATCTCAGCAAGAGAAGTCCTCCCATCGATAGCACTGTCTACACCGGGGACTAGGTCAGTAGAACTGCATTGCTCAGGGGTGTGGATTTTTCACACCCCTGAGCGATGTAGTTGTATTGATGTAAGTTTATAGTGTAGACCTGGCCTCAGAGTGTCACAACTAAATACAAGATGGAACAGATTATTTAGCTTAAGTAGTTAACACATATTTCAAGGGACCATTCAAGGTGAAGTGGCCCATTAACACCTTGCCAGTCATAGGGAGGAAAGGGGGAAACCAGCCCTAGGGGAGTTATTAATGGGTTATAGATTGTTGTAATAGGACATAAATTCAGTATCTCAAGTCAGTCCATGTTTTTTAGTGTCTAGCAAAGTTATGAATCTAAGTCCCCAGGCTCATCTTTTGAAAGCATCGTTCAGCTTTCCTTTGAGAATAAGGACTGATATTGTATAGGTCAGATATAGAGTGATTGGGGGAGGGTTGTTCGAAGGCCAGAAAAGGAGGTTCAGGAAAGATTTCTTCTCCCCTCACCCATTTCCTCCTTATGACTGGTCCATTTCATGTAAATGGTCAATTTCACCTTGAATGGTCCCTTGAAATATATGTTAACAACTTAAGCTAAACAATCTGTTCCATCTTGTATTTAGCTGTAACACTCTGAGTAAGCTTCCCAGCCCTGAAGAAGAGCTCTGTGTAAGCTCGAAAGCTTATCTCTCTCACCAACAGAAGGTAGTCCAATAAAAGATATCATCTCACCCACCTTGTCTCTCTAATATCCTGGGATCGACATGGCTAAAACAACACAACATACATTTTAAAAGCTGTTCAATTACCTTTCATTATAAATCACTGAAGTACGGCCAATGAATGCATTATTTAATTTTTCCAGTAACCTTACTTTACTAATGAACACCAAACTGTGGTGTACAACCTTTTCTTTTAAGGGCTGAAATGTGGTGAAAGTTACTCCTTGGGGAATTCTGAGTCACTGTGCAAGCACAGATTTAATGTCCCTGTCCCCCGCCGCAGAATAACTGATTCTGACAGGGAGACGAAGGGAAGCCGCGAGAGGGGTCATGCTGCAATTACACCTTTTTCCCACCAGGGGCTGATGTGGTGCCAGAAAGAGAGCAGTTGGTTCACAGGCTGGAGCAGGCAGCCATGGAGAGCGAAGGGGCAGAGGCAGGGCCGGTGCTACCATTAAGGCGAACTAGGCGGTTGCCTAGGGTGCCAAGATTTGGGGGTGCCAAAAAGCGGTGCCCCCAATTTTTTTTTATAACAGCGTTCCTCCCCAAGCGTGCGGTTGCCGATCCACTTCTCCCGCCTCCCAGGCTTGCAGTGCCAATCAGCTGTTTGGCGCCGCAAGCCTGGGAAGAGAATTAGAGCAGGGGCGGCGTGCTCGGGGAGGAGGCGGAGCAGAGGTGAGCTGGGGTGGGGAGGTGCCGCATGGCTCTCCGGGCCGGGGCGGGGGGGGAGCTGCCGTGGGGGTGCCTCAGGGCGGGGTGCGGGAGCTGCCGCAGGGCTCCCCACCTCAGCTCACCTCTGCTACGCCCCCTCCCCTGAGCACGCCGTCGCTGCTCCACTTCTCCCACCTCCCAGGCTTGCGGCGCCAATCAGCTGTTTGGCGCCACAAGCCTGGGAGGGGAGGAGAATTAGAGCGGGGGCGGTGTGCTCGGGGAGGAGGCGGAGCAGAGGTGAGCTGGGGTGGGGAGGGGAGCTGCCATGGGGGGGCGCCTCAGGGCAGGGGGGGGGATCTGCCACGGGGAGGGGCACCTCAGGGCGGGGGGGGCGGGGAGCTGCCGCAGGGCAGTGGGGGGGGGCGCAAGGTGGAATTTTTGCCTAGGGCACGAAACTTCCTTGCACCGGCCCTGGGCAGAGGCTGCCTTCGTCACAGTACCCTGCCTGCAGGGCCAGGTTAGGCGGCATGTGAAGGGGGAAGGAACTGACAGAGCAGGGCACAAGGGGCTGCTGTGGGGGTCACACAGACTGGAATTCAGAAGAGATAATGGGGGGGAGAGACTGGGGCGGGGACACAGAAGCTAGTGGGGTCACAACACTGATCCGGGGCTGAATGGGAGTAAGGGTGCAGGGCCACTTGGGGACACGGAGGAGGGAGAGTGCGGGGACACATGGGGAAGGGGGCAGCTATGCCTATCTGAATGGGGAGTGGGGATGCAGGCACACATGGGGACAGGGGCAGATGTGCCTGACTGAATGCAAGAGGCCAGGGGTCAGCAGGCTCTGCATGGGGGAGGCTCCCAAACTTCCTAACAATCTTCCCCTCCCCCCCCCGCAAAAAAAAAACGTTTCCCATAGTTCTCCCACCAACACCCAACAATCCTCCAGGTCCACTCCTAGGTTTCTTCCCAGCACTTACTTCCCTCTCCACCAGCTACTCCGTTAGCACTGACTCCCACAAGCCTATGCACAGCTTCTAAGGGGTGCGGGAAATATGTTTCTGTATTGTAGTTAAATAAATTATTACTCAAAGTTCTGTATTAATATGCCTAGTAAGGAATCTATTTGTCAAAAAACATTTCCTGATTTTTCGTTGTCTGTATTGTTACAGACATATTTGCTGACAGTTATTTTTAAATCCATTACCAAAATAATGTAAATTGGCATGATTATGTTGTATTATTTTGACAAATAAAATATGTAGAATTTTAAAATATTGTATGCATAATTTTAGGGCTGTCAAACAATTAAAAATATTAATTGTAATTAATCGCCCTGTTAAACAATAATAGAATACCATTTATTTAAATATTTTTGGATGTTTTCCACATTTTCAAATATATTGATTTCTATTTCAACACAGAATACAAAGTGTACAATGCTCACATTATATTTATTTTATTTATAAATATTTGAACTGTAAAAATAAGAGAAATAGTATTTTTCAATTCACTTAATGCAAGTACTGTAGTGCAATTTCTTTATCATGAAAGTTGAACTTACAAATGTAGAATTATGCACAAAAGATAACTGCATTCAAAAATAAAACAATATCAAACTTTAGAGCCTACAAGTCCACTCAGTCCTACTTCTTGTTCAGCCAATTGCTCAGACAAACAAATTTTTTTACATTTGCAGGAGACAATGCTGCCCACTTCTTATTTACAATGTCACCTGAAAGTGAGAACAGGCATTCGCATGGCACTGTTGTAGCTGGCATTGCAAGATATTTACGTGCCAGATGCACTAAAGATTGGTTATGTCCCTTCATGCGTCAACCACCATTCCAGAGGACATGTCCATGCTGATGATAGATTCTATTCAATAACTATCCAAAGATATGCAAACTGATGCATGTTCGTTTTCATCATCTGAGTCAGATGCCACCAGCAGAAAGCTGATTTTCTTTTTTGGTGGTTCAGGTTCTATAGTTCTGCATCCAAGTGTTGCTCTTTCAAGACTTCTGAAAGCATGCTCCACACCTCATCCCTCTCAGATTTTGGAAGGCACTTCAGATTCTTAAACCTTGGGTCGAGTGCTGTAGCTATCTTTAGAAATCTCATATTGGGACCTTTGCATTTTGTCACATCTCCAGTGAAAGTGTTCTTAAAATGAACGACATGTGCTAGGTCATCATTTGAGACTGCTATAACATGAAATATGTGGCAGAATGCAGGTAAAATAGAACAGGGGACATACAATTCTCCCCCAAGGAGTTCAGTCACAAATTTAATTAACACATT